GGTTTACTTTACTATTCCCAATGCTCTGGGTAGGCATCATCAAAAGTTACAATTTGGAGAAGATCTTTGCAAGATAGTAACAGCCAACCTTTCAGCAATGTCAATGGAGGGGTGTATTTATTTGGCATTTATTTATTGGGCATCTGCTACATTCCATATACTGTGGGTGGGGATAGTGATGACATCAGATAGTTTCCCTGACCTTAAGAAGCTAACTGGCTCCCGGGGGAGACGTCAACCAAATACTAACACAAAAATATAAAATAGCAATAGTTAGGACAATTGCTAGAAAACTATTGTCATGGTGGTTTAAGATGTATGATAAGGAGAGTCATCCAGTACAGAAAGTCCCAAGACACTTCCCTGAGGAAGTGTTAGTTCAGCCCAGATCACAAGATAAATGCTGAAGTTAACTAGATAGTCAAGGTGGGGGGAGGGGAAGCATGTGAGGAGAGGCATGAAAGGAGACAGGATGGTCCAGGCAGAAACCGTTCATGCAAAGATGGAGATGTTTACTGCATATGCTTCGCCACCAGTTCTTTCAGAACTAATATAAATGAATGTCACATAAAGGCATTCAATGAAGGTATAGAATACCTCATTCTAGTCCACCTATGGATCCTTCACATGTGTGAATTTCTTCCTGCAATGAGCTGTTCTTTGCATTTTGATCTGTAATGAAGCAGATAGCTATAACCTTCCCTGTTTTATGAGTCCAAGCTGCATTTTAAGAGTCATCAATATTATAGTTAAGCAAGTAAAAATTAAAATTTCATGTTATCTTCCTTAATTGCAAAACATCTGGCACCAGTAATCTATCTTCTCTCCTGCAGGAAATTGAAACCTGTGTGCTCTTTATTATACTGCCTATAAACACGTTGCAAATTATAACTCTACATTGCCATTAATTTTATTTGGGGGAATATAAATTGAGCCATCTACTTACTTTCGACACTTACTAATCCTCTTTCACAATACATTTCATTTTCTCCGCTTTGTGCCCCCCTAGAACACACCCACGTTAACTGTAGGAAAAAAAGTTTTAATCAGTGCTCCAATGTCTCTTGCAGCTGACTCACATTTTCACACAAGCTGCTTTAACTTTATAGAAAGAACATGTCTCATCTCTGCTTCCAGTGTTAAAAAGAAAAGGAAAGAAGAGTTTCTATATGAACCAGCTGCTCTCCAGGTCACCACTCTCAGTTGAGTGTTGTGCTATAAAAGTGCTGTTCTGACAGATATGATTGAATCCAACTATGCCAAGAACTGGCTATAAACCAGTAACTCCAACAAATTACTTATTATAAAATGCCATTGTCTTTGCTTCATGTCCCTTTAGTGACTTTGACCAATAAACCAGTTGATTCAACTCTCAGATTCTGTTTTCTCATTCGAAGAAAAGTAAAGTGCTTATGAAATTAAATGAAATGTTTGTGAAAGTTCAGTGCATATGGAAAGCACTTAATACAACACAGACTTTCCTTCTCTAAGGTAGCCCAGATGCTACCTAAATGCACTGAGAGCTCTGTGAAGACAGAACTGTGCCTCTAGTAACCATGTTTACTACAAAGGCTGGCAGACAGTGTTCACTAAAGCTTTGTTGGGGAATTGAATTTAAAAGTGAAGAACATGGGACTGGAGAGATGGTTCAGCAGTTAAGAGCACAGGCTGCTCTTGCAAAGGACCCGAGTTCAGTTCCCAGCACCCACGTGGTGACTAACAACCATCCATAACTCCAATTCCAGGGGATCTGGGGATCTGATGCCCTTTTCTGATCTCTGCAGGCATTGCATGATACGGGTGCACTTATATACATGCAGGCAATACACTCGTACACATAAAATAAAAATAATAAATAAAATATTTTTTAAGTGAAGAACTTCAAGTTCCAAAGATTTCACTGTTTGGGGGACACTATGGGATGACCCCTAACCCCCCCTCAGCAGACGGAGTAAGCAGAGGTACTAGTACTAGAAACCTGGGGTAAATGTTCTGAACTGGCCGCCCACCGAGGGGTGGACATCTCACAGGTCATCTCAAGAACACAGAAGGCAGGCCCTGGAGAGGTGGTTCAGTACTTAAGAACACTTGCTGCTATTGCAGAGGACTCAGGTTTGGTTCCCAGCACCCAGTACCCCATCAGGCAGCCCATTTAGGCGCCCTCCGATGACTCTTGGTCTCTGCATTCCATCTCACTCTTTCCATCCATAAAGTTCATTTCTTGCTCACCCCCTCTTTTCTATGCTCATTCTCCCTAGGGCTATGGTGTTTCACAGGCTCTTATCATGAACTATGCTACAGTGAAGGGGAGAAAGATGAGTAAGAAAAGGTCATCATCCACGTGAAGATAAAAATGAGTAAGATGCTACAGGACTGGCAACACGCTCACGGCAATTGTCCAACAAGAAGGAAAATATCAGAGACAGAAAAGGTTGAGATTTGCATTCTTCTACAGAGGTGTGCCTATTTCATCAGTGACTCTAGTATGTGCCAGGCACTGTGCAGTGTCAAGGTCCTGGTAATCTCTCCTTATTTCTCTCATATAGGATGAACACTGGAGGTGGGGATGGATGAGCCTATCCATACCTCAGTGTGTACGTGCAAAACACTATTCACTTTGTGGTCCATGAAGCACCAGAAAGTCTTTCCTTAATGAATGGCTAGAGTTACAACAGGCTCTGTTAAACATGGCACACAGTCACTGCTTCTTTGAATGACTTTTTTCTTATGTGATTGCACTTCCTGAGATTCATCCTGGTGCATTTTCCTTTCATGGCTGCCTCCAATCCATCACTACAAAGAGCAGCCTTAAAAGCAGCGCTCAGGGGAGACATTATTTCCTTTCCATTTCTCTCTCAGAAAGAGCAACTTCAAATGGAAAAGGGAGAAAAACGCATTTATATTAAAGAAATATAAATAAGAAAGAATCTGCTTCTTTCCCTTAAGATACTAAGCCTCAAAAGGATTCTTGGTTTTAAAAAGACCATCACCCTTGGTCTGCACTGAATGTTAATATTTACCTGGTAGTAAAGCCAAAGGATTCTTAAGGAGAGCTATTAAATGGAAAACAGGGCTGAAACAGGTTTAATGAAAGTCACAGGCTCATAAATATAACTTCTAAGGTTCGTCTTGTGGCTAGCCAGGACTTAGAATTTGTGATTCCCCTGATTATATGGGTTGACAGGGGAACGAATGACTTCCTCTCAGACAAGACTGCCATGTTAAAATTATGACTGGGAAACAGAAATGGCTAGGCTTCCTTGGGCAGCCACAAGGTTCAGCAGAGCTGGGTTAATCACTGATGTACAGGCAGGTATACTAGATCACAGTGGCAAATGAGGGAATCGCCAGCTCCTCCTTTCAAAAAATAATTATTCACTTAAAACAAGTCCGTGGTTATTTATCTTATTAAACAAAATTCTCGTTGACCACACAAAATTTCCATTAACTTATCTCATATGCAACTGGACTTTTTTTCAGGGTGGGCGGGCTAATGCTTATTATCAGCCATGTCTTAATAATTTGCTAACATTGAGTAGAAAGTCTCAAAAAAATTTTAGTTGAACTCTTTAGGTGTACCTAGTTTAATTTTTTCCCAGACTAGGAGTCTGAGTGACTGCTAATTTCAGTAACTAACAAAAGCCTTAGGCTGTGGTCCCCAGTGAACCGCTGGGCAGATCTCTAGGTATCTGCAGCTACTTCTGCAGAGGAGGGCAGGGAGCTGCCTGGTTTCCTCTTGTTTTTGAAGAGTATTTACATACCAGACCTGAAGCTTCCTTTTCTGTCTTCTCACCAAGTACAAAAGAGCCTGTTTGCTTGCTGTTGACAAAGAATGCTAGCAATATCACTTGTGAGTCTGTGGTTTTTAAAGACTCAAAAATACTCTTTCTTACAGGGCATGATGGCACATACCTGTAATCTCGCCACTAGGGAGGCTAAGGCAGGCAGGAGAACTAGGAGTTTAAGACTAGCCTAGGCCAGAGAGAGAGAGACAGAGACAGAGACAGAGACAGAGACAGAGATGAGACAGAGAGACAGAGACCCAGAACTGTGCACAAACTGGAGGAGATTAAAACAAAAACCAAATGCAAAAGAAACCATGTAACACAGGCCTGTTATCTCAGGTTCTCAGGAGGCTGAAACAGGATGATCCCAAATTTGAGGCCTTCCTGGGTAATAGAGGAAAATCAAAGCCACCCCAGGCACCTTGGTGGAAGCCTGTCTTAAAAGTGAAAAGTAAAAAAAGTCAGGGGATATAGCTCAGTTACTTAAAGTGCTTGCTTAGCATGCATCGGGCCCTAGGTTTAGTCCCCAGTACACAGACACACAGACACACAGACACACACAGACACACACACACACACAAGAATCTCTGGTAAAGAAAAAGGACCTTTTCCCTTGCCCACACCATAGCCTCCCTTTATTTTTAATGCGATTTGACAGCATGGATTCAAAAGAAAGCCTCACAGTTAGAGATGGAACCACAGCATCTGTGCCTACAGCCCTCCTAGCTGCTCTAATTAGGATCTCCTTATCCCATCTCGACTTCTCAGGAGAGGACGGGGGGCTTTTTAATTGGGGCTATTAGAAGTTCTCTTTACACAGTGACACCCTCTGCAAAGCGAAGACTCCAGAAGCAGCTCTGCCCACTCTACAATTACTTCTCACAATTCTGAGGAATAATGGTATCTTGTCTCATTTAAAAATAAACCCAAGCCTTACTCCCTATCAAGTTCTCGCCCCTGCCTACCCACATGAGTTTCTTCTTGCCAATTAAGCAAACTTGCCATTATTTAAGGAGTTAGTTTTGATCATAACTGTCCCCTGATAATGAGACATATTAAGCTGGATTTCACTTGCCCACAGTTCCTTTGTTCCAAACATGAGGCTACTTTAAATGAGCTCAGAGCTCAGATCTCAGAGCTCAAGTTCACTCTGGAGTGAGATGGCACAGCTTTGGAGTTTCCTGCACCATGCTGTTTGCATACCACAGAACTCACCTGAAATAACCTGCATGTTCAGTGCTCTAAGCTTCTCAGAATCACTTCCTTTTAAGAGAACGGATGCAGATTCATATTTATGACCTATTCCGAGAAAAGAAATGAAAGATTTAGATGATAAACAAGCATATTTTGCCAATTGTGGTGGCACACACCTCTAACCCTAGCACTTGTGAGGCTGAGGCAAGAGGATTGTGAGTTTAAGGCTAGCCTGGGCTACATAGTGAGGCTCCCCCAGCCCCCTCCCCACCAAGATCACATTCTTGATATGTATTCTCTGTGTTGATTCAAAGGATTATCAAGGAGAAAGATTCATTCACAGCATGGTCATGGAGTAATAAGACATCAAGAGCTTTTAATTTTAAAAATTTTAAATTTATGTGTTTTACCCGCCTGTATATAAGTGCATTTGGCATACAGTGCCCAAAGAGGTCATAAGAAGATGTTGGATCCCCTGGAAGTGGAGTTATTAATGTTGTTAGCCACCATGGGGTGCTGGGAACCAAACCAAGGTCCTCTGAAGGGGCAGCCAGTATTCTTTTTTTCTTTTAATTATTTTATTTGTTATTTTTATTTTATGAGAGTATTGCCTGCGTATGTGTAAATGTACCCACGTCATGCAATGCCTCAGAGATCAGACAAGGGTCCTAGATTCCCCTGGAACTGGAGTTACAGATGGCTGTTAGCTACCATGTGGGTCCTAGAGATGGAACCCAGGTCCTCTGCAAGGGCATCCAGAGCTCTTAACTGCTGAGCCATCTTTCCAGCCCCTACATCAAGAGCTTTTATTATTCATATGTTCCATTTACAAACAGGCACTTTCTAAAAGCAATGACTTCTCCACTACCATAAATACTATTATGTCATATTCTCTCATGAAAAGCACCAGCCCTTACATGCAAAATATATTCTTACCTACATGGGTATGATATACAGAATGGTTAGAATAGTTAAGGTATATTACATATTAATTATATTTAATGTCATTATCAATATGACATTTTTCATTGTTTTATATTCCTTGACCTGCAGGAAAAATCCTTAAAAGTCACCAAATTTGTCATGAGGGTAGATGTCCGTAAGGATTTAATGTAGCTTCCCACTACCAGTGTCTTTCTAGACATTTTCCCATCTGATATTTTTCTTTCCTAATATGTATTCATATAGAAAAATGGACCAAGAAACCTAGAACCATGAATTATATTTTTATTTAAAATAACAAAAATTTCAAAGCTAGGAAGACCAACTTCTGACATTTTATTAACTGTGTAACTTTGGATAAAACAGTTAACTTCTCTGAGTTTCAGAAGGGACTTTTTTCATGCATAAAATAAAAATAATAGCACATACTGTTAACATATTCTTCTGGTTTCCTTTCCATTGCCATGACAAGCACCATGACCAAAAGCAATGAAGGCCAGGAAAAAATTGAGTTGGTTTACCAGTCTGTCACTGAGAGAAATCAAGGCAGGCCTATCTGCTGTTCTGCACAACACTACCTCTGACCAAAGAATTCACTTCATAACCCAGAAGCACAGTAGGAACTAGGGAATACACTGCTTGATGGCTGGCTTGCAGACAGGCTTACAGTCAGCTAGCTTTCTTACACAGTTCAGCACCACCTGCCTAGGGATGGTGCCACCCACAGTGGGCTTGGCCCTCCTCCATCAGTTAAGAATCAAGACAATCCCCCACAGACATGCCCACCATCCAGTCAGATCTGGGCCATGCCCAAATTGAGAAGATGCCTTTCTAAGTTGATTTTATGTTGTGTCAAATTAATAGCTAAGGCCAACCAGGACACATACTTTGATAATCTAGTGAAAAACCTCTGAAAATGGTTATTTTACAAAGATACATTATTGGAGATGTCGTTAACCATGTCACTAAAGGCCTTTATTACTAAGGTATCAGAGATAAGCCTTAATGTGAAACTATTCTCAAAAATATCTGCAACAAATGCTTAGTCAAAGGTACTAATGGCACCCTTGTTCATCTAGAGGTACATGTTGCTTACTCTGCTGCTGGAAAGACCAACAACTTTACCTGGCAAAGAACTTAAGAGCCTAGGAAATGAACAATCAGTGCAATACCACTATTCCTTTAAAATATTTATTTTTATTTTATGTGTATGAGTGTTTTGCCTGCATGTATGTAAGTGCATGTGTGTTGTGCAATTCCCACAGAGGCCAGAAGAGGGTGTTACATCCCATGGAACTGAAGTTACAGATGGTTATTAGCCACCATATGGGTGTTGGGAATTAAATTCAGGTCCTCTGCAAGAACAGCAAATGCTCTTAACTGCTGAGCCATCTCTCCAGCCCTACTATTCTTTATTGAGAACTAGCTGCCACTAGACTCTGTGGTCAATGTCTTAGATGATCTCTTTATTTCACTCTTTACCTCAACTCTGTGTGGTAGTGACAAGTCCCTTTGGAAGTACAGAAGAGGACAGCCACAAGGATAACCAAGGATAGGTTATAACCAAGGATAACCAAAGATAACCAAGGATAACCAAGTTGGTTATGGTACCTTGCTCAAAGTCACACAGTAGGTAGTAGTATGTGGATTTGTGCTTAAGTCCATACATCTTCAGAGCCTATTTTCTTTTTCAAAAATTTTTTATTCAATTTTTGTGTATTCCATACATGAGGGAGCTTCATTGATGAGAATTGAAAGATGCATTAGTGTTCTCTTCATCCCTTGTTCTATGTTCCGTGAGTCTTAGGTGTAGAGGTTGTATCCTAGATGTGCCACTTTTTATACCCCCTTCCTCCTTCCCCTTTGGCTCTCTCCAATAGCCCCCCACACACACACACACTGGAGTTCATACATTCTGTCATTTGTGTTAAGGCCTGTTATGTGAAGTTAGTGCCCCCAGATGTCCCTCAGTGCAAGTTCATCTATCAGGGTTTCATCAGCCTATCTAGAATCTCTCCCTCCAAGAAGATCAGCTCTTCCTCACCTAGCAGTAATCAGCTGCCAATAACTCTTCGACTAAGATTGGGGCTTACTGTTCATTTCCACAGCTCTGTGCTGGGTTTTTGTCTGCCTACATTTGCATGGGTCTTGTGCATGCTGACACCATTACTGTAGGTTTGCATCAGAAGGGTCCCAGACACCTGCAGGACTATTTCCGTATGGTCATGCACCTCCTCCCTGGCTCTTACAATCTTTCCTCCCCCTCTTCTGCAATGGTCCCTGAGCCCTGGGTAGGTGGACTTCAATATAGGAGACCTGTCCAAGGACCTACACTCTGCAGACTCTTATTCTCTGCTCTTTGGCCATATGTGGCCTTTTGTGTTTCTGGCCCTCTGTTGCATGAGGGAGCTTCATTGATGAGAACTGAAAGATGCATTAGTGTTCTCTTCATCCCTTGTTCTATGTTCCATGAGTCTTAGGTGTAGAGGTTGCATCCTAGATGTGCCACTTAGAATTGGGCAATTCACAGAGAATCTCTGGGTGTGACCAGTAGTTCAACTTCAGAGCCTATTTTCATGGTGATGCGTTTTATACTGTCTTTAAGAACTCAACTACTTACGTAGGAACTGTCCATCAAGCCTGATATGCAGCCAAAATATGCCTGGGTACACAGCAGTAGCACCATGCCAGGAACTTACAATCCCTTCTGATAGGTGAATGGCTGCACCATAGCAACTGTCCCCCAATAAGTGGTTGATTGAACTAAAAAGAACTCTGAGTCTGTAGATAAGGAATTCTTTAGCAGAAAATGGATTGTCCTTGCTGTGTAGCTGTTTCCTCAGACTGAAACACTCCCTCAACTTATAAGACTCACCAGGACCCTCTCTAAGGTTACATAAGGAGCAAACAATTGCTTGGCGCGGGGGAGTCATTTGGAGTGTGGTTTTCCCTGCAGGTTGCACAGGGAGCCCCAGTGATGTAGGTTTCGTAAGGTCATCACTCATGCTGAGGCTGGACTTTCAGTGATGAAGCTGCCGAGTCACTCATGCTCCTGGAAGTAGTCCCCCACTCACACTCTTGGAAGTAGCCCCACCCATGCTTCTGGAAGTAGCCCCACACCCATGCTTCAGGAAGTAGTCCCCCACCCATGCTCCTGGAAGGAGCCCCCCCCATGCTCCTGGAAGTAGTCCCCACCCATGCTTCCAGAAGTAGCCCCCCACCCATGCTCTGTAGGTAGTCCCCCTCCCATGTTCTTATAAGTAAACACAACAGACTAATTGGTTCACCAAACTGCACTTGAATGGAATCATCACTTTGTTCTGTCCTTGGGGCCCTAGCTGGGGTGAACAAGTGTTTGTATATGTTTCCCAGGCAAAGTCATGCAACAACCCTAACAATGGATTTACTTCTCGGCACTTACTCTGAGATGTCTGGAGTCTCCTATGATCTTCAAGTATTTTGTGGATAACAAGGATGATAAAAAATATAAAAACTAGTAGCACTAAAATGTACCAAGTGATCCTCATGGAACAAGTGACATCTGTTAAAAAAAATTTTTTTGTTTTAGAGTACTATAAAAATACAATGCAGGGCTGGTGAGATGGGTCAGCAGGTAAAAGCACTTGCCTGACAACCTGAGTTCCATCCCTGAAACCCACAACCCCTGTAAGTTGTCCATGCACTGATCTCCATATGTACACTGTGGCACTCATGCACATAAATAATAAATAAATAAGTAAATAAATGTAATAAAATGGTTCATTAGATAAGAGGTGATGTGGTGGTATGTACCTTTAATGGAAAAATTGTATAAAGTCTTAACTGTAAGAGAGTTACTTGCTCTCCTGAATACCTTCCTGATATATTAAATGAAGGTACTAGATAGGGGAACTTGGTCAAGTCACTTCCAAGGATCCATTAACTTCTGGGACTTAATTTCATTTACAAACTATGCTGCTATCAAGAATGAAATGTAGCAGGCCTAGAATCAGAGCTATTTATAATTATTCATTTTGGTCATGGGCCACCCAGTCTGGAGACATGTCCTCAAATCAACAAAGACAGAGCAAAAGCAACAAAAATGGAGAGCAAGGGGAAGACAGGAAGACAGTGTAAAACGTCCCCCACAGGCTTCTGCATTTGAATACTAGATTCCCAGCTAGTCACATTGTTTGGGGAGGTTATACACTACATATTTGTGTTTGCTTCAAAGATATTGGGTTTTTTTTTTAATCACCTTTAAAATAATTAAGCTTTAGAAAAGCATTCTAAAGCAATCTGTAAAGAGCCCGTATGTGTGGACTACAAAAAGCACAACAAATGGCTGTCACAGTACCTAGAGCTCTGGGGTACACTTGTTTGTGTGATTTCTTCTTCTTCTAGATTATTTTCATGTTCATCTGACTCTCTGTGTCCTGTCTTGGTGTGCTGCTTGGCATACAGAAGGCACCCATTAAATGAATACATCATAAAATGCTTCTAAGAATAGATCTTATGGGTGAAGTGGGGGCACGTTGCTTAGCAGTCAGCACTAACTGGTATTCACAATAGGGTGACTAGGAAGTTAATCAGCCTTGAATAGAATTTAGATACATGTGAAATTTATCTTTTAGCCTTCTTTTCTCTTAGCATCCAGTAACCCTAAGTGTTAAATCTGCACAGCATTACATCAAAAGGCTCATTTCACCCAAGCTCTAAGAAGGGATGTATTAAATCAATCAGCCCAAAGTAACTTTAATAGTGTATTTCGTGTTTACATTTATCTTTAAAAAAAATCTCACCCTTTACTACCAGGCTGTGTTGGCTCTACTTCAAGCACAGATATCAGGCACATCACAGCTAGCATAGGACGAAGGGTCTTTCTAGTACCCCTCCACTCACTACTTATATGTATGGTCCCTGTCTCGGGTTATAACTGGGCTCCATAAAAAGCATATTTTGAAAGAAAAGTCAACATAGAAAATGATCAATATTTTCTCAAGCAATAAAATTCTTCAGCTATTTGATCGTCAATGATGCCCTTTCTTACTTTTATGTGTGTGTGTCCAATTTCTCCCTCTCCCTCTAATATCTGTTCAAACTTACTTTTTACATCAATTTCTAGGTACAAAGAAATCTGAGTACAGTTGCTCGTGTTTGCCATAATCTTGCAAGTATGGTTTACAGACTTTTCCCTGGTTGAATCTTCTGCCACGGTTGTTGATTTACTAGGGAGGGCTCTGGAGGTACAGGTAGCATTGTATTCTTCTGTGGGATCAACCACAGGAGTGACAGTGAAGTTAAAACTCTGACAGTGTGAATAAACATCGTTTGCTTTCACTCGCATTGATCCTTTCATGATAAGACCTAGAAAGAGATGAAGAAAACATTACTCACAGAATGGTAATACCTACTAAGAAAATATGATTCAAAGCTAAGTCTCACCAGGTGCAGTGGTGCATGCCTGAAATTCTAACACACAGAATGCTGAGGCAAGATGGCTGCCACAAGTTTGCGGACTCTTCAGGTTGCATAGAGTAGCAGGCCACTCAAGGAACACAGGAAGACTCTGCCTCAAAAAAACAAAACTAACCAAACAAACAAATAAGCCCAAATCTCCTCCTTTGTATACAAGAAAATAGAAAACGAAGTTACCAACACTACAAATAATATCAAAGTGATTTTGTTTATTTTTAAATCATGAAAGCCTCAGGGGTAAGGTTGAAATAGGATTCAAGCATCTCAGAGAAAGTACAGGCATTTCCTCCCTGATTTTCAGGACAGAACATGTTTTCCAAAATGTTGATGCTGTTTTCTGTTCCACATTGTCCTAGTGCTCTAGGGGCTTTATAAAAACTACTATAAACTGGGTAGCTTAAAGAACAGAAAGTTGTCTCATAGTTTTAGAGGCTAGGAGTGAGATTAAGATGGGGGCAGGGCTCATGTTCCTCTTCTAGCTTCTGGCGGTTGCTGGTAATCATTGGCTTTCATTGGTTTACAGAAGTGTGACCTTGGTCTCTTCCTTCATCCTCACATGGCAATTTCCCTATATGGTTTCTCTGTGTCCACATTTCTCCATGTATGTGTGTGCCTATGCCTGTATGTGCAGGTGCATTTACATGTGTATGTTTATGAGTACTTGTGGAGGTCAGAGGTTTACAAACCTTTGTTGTTCCTTAGCAGTTGTCCACTTTGCATTTTTGAGACAGGGTCTCTCCCTAGAAACTAGAGCTTGCTATCGGCTAACCTCGCTAATCAGCGAGCCCTAGGGATTCTTCTGTCTCCACCTCCCTATGGCTGGGATTACAAGTGTGTACCACTACAACCAGCTTTTTACTTGTGGTATGGGGATCAAACTCAGGTCCTGAAGCTTGCCCAGCAAGCTCTTTAGGATTAAGCTATCTCCAACCCCACATTTCTCCTTTTTACAAGGACATCAATCCTAATGAATTAGGTTCTGTATTAACGGTCTTATATTAACTAAATTATATCTACAACAACCTGGTTCCAAATAATGTCATATTCTCAGGAACTGGTGGTTAATGCTTTAACATATAAAATTTGAGAGGATACAATTCAATTCATAGCACATGTTATCCTCAAACTTTACCAACCTACCATAAAAGGGGGGAGTTTAATCCCCTCCCCATTGAGTCTAAGTAAGTTAAACTGGCTTATAGTTATGGGAATGTAAATGAAACTCACTGTCTTCTCCATCAAAAGGTTAAATGAGACAAAGGAAGTTTTACTTTAGAGAAATTGGTAAAGATGCCATCTGGCAAAACTTCCTCCCCCAGTCAGCATTTTTCTAAGATCAAAGTATGTGCTCAAGGCTGCACTCTGAGCCCAAGGTTGTATCCTGTTTTCAAAACATCCTGTTCTCATCCAACAAATGGTGATTAACCCAGAAAGCCAAACTGGCCAAAGTGCAGAGAATAAGAGGCTGCATAGTGCTTATCCCTGAATAGGACACCCATATCAAACTGCTGTTGCTACCCAAGGCTCAGGGACCATTGTGGAAGAGGGGTTGGAAAGACTGTAAGAGACAGAGGTGGTGGTTGACCACAAAGAAACAGAATTTTCCAGACAGCTGGAAAGTTCATATGAACTTACAGCAATGGTGACAGCATGCATAAGACCCATGCCTGCTTAAATTAGACCAAAAAAAAACAACATAGAAATAGGGAAATAGATAGGAAGCCCCAACCTTAGCTGAGGAACTATTGGCAACTGGTGACTACTGGAAGAGGAAGATGGTTTTCTTGAAGGGAGTGACACTAGATAGGTTAATCAGGCTCCAGTGGATAGACACACACTGAAAGACAGTTGGGTATACAAACTAACCTCAACAGGACTTAACATATATGACAGAATACTTGAAATATGATGGGGAGTTGTAAGAGGGGTACAGATAGGGCAAGGGCTCTAAATATGATCAAAATTATATTATGTGAAATTCACAAAAATTCAATTTTAAAAAATAAAGAAAAAATTGTAAAATAAAATAAAATAATAAAAAAGTTGAACTGTATTTGCCAACTACACTTTTTAATTTTTTTTAAGTTTTGTGTGTATGAGTGCTTTGACTGTATGTCTTTAAGTGCACCCATGTCATGCAATGTCCACAAAAGTCAAAAGAAGGTGTCAGATCCACTGGAATTGGAGTTTCTGACAATTGTTAGTTGCAATATGGGTTCTGGAAACCAAAACCAGGTCCTCTGCAAGAGCAGCCAGTGCTCAGTCCATATGTATAGCTAAAGGCTACATAACAAGAAACAATGCCAGACAGGAGATATCCTCCTTTGAGTTGTTGGCCAGGGTGGCCCAAGAGACTCCCAGACAATAAACCAGCATAGAACTGGGAAAATGAACAGCAGACCTCAATCTTATCTGAAGGAATGTTGGCAACTGATTGCTCCTAGATGAAGAAGAGCTGATCTTCCTAAAGCAAGGGACTCTAGATAGACTGGCTAGACTCAGTGGATGGACTTGCACTGGGGAATGGCTGGGGGCACTGATAATACAGTGGACAGTAAGGGGGGCTATGGGAGGGTGCCATTTGGGAAGTGGGTATATGTGGGTATATAGATGAATAAGATAGTTTGGGATGGTCTGTATGATATATACACAAAAAAAATCAACAAATAAAAAAATGAGTTATATTTGAGGAGGAAGCATAAAAATTTAATTCATGTTAATTAGTAGAGGTGATAAACATTACCACTGAAATCTACCTGATGACTTTATAGACATACACAGGTGCCAAGGATCCAAGTGTAACTGACTGTGACTAGTAATAATCAGACACATAGAGATTAGAGACGCATGTGCAAACATCTAAGTGTTAGTAACATTAAAAATGAGTCTTTCTATAGGAAACAGTACATTTTAAAATGAAATGGAGATCTTTCTTAAAGGTTAAAACATTCAATTTTATGTCTTACAGGGTTTATACTGGGTTCAATATTGTATAACTGCATTAATTCAACTATGAACCTAAAAATTTGCAGCTGCTTTTGAAAGAGATGTGTCTTTGCTCTGGAAATTGTTATTGAATATGTTAAAGCTGTAATGAAATGCTTCTTCTAGTCATGTGCTTACTGAATTTTAAAAAAGCTTAAAAAAAAAAAAAAAGAGCAGCCAGTGCTCTTAACTGCTGCGCCATCTCTCTAGCTCCTCAACTTCACTCTTTAAGTCAGCCTGCAGAAGTAAAACTTTTTGCCTTGCCAAAATACTTTGGCTTGTGTGGTCATTTTCTTGAGAGTCCAGACCCATTTCTAACATAGTCAAACACAAAAGAAATGACATTACATGACCAATCCAGAAAAGGTGAAGCAATTCCTCTCTGCCCTTTGGAATGATAACTCCAGAGTTTTGAGTCACTATGGAAAGGCCCAATTTAAGGCTGTGAGGAAGTCCCAGAAGAACCAATGAGGAAAGACGACAAGGCTGACAATGAACAGCGTGAAAGGCACACAGAGACTAGGAGAAAATATTCCCAGAAAACGTCTGATAAAAATGTAATACCACAACTCCTGTCATGGAAAGAGGAAGAGGAAAAACACATCAAATAACCTGATTTTAAAATGGACAACTGTCAGGTGTGGTGGAACATGCCTGCAGTCTTAGCTACTTGGGAGGCTGAGGCAGGAAGACCACTTGACTTCGGGAGTTCTAGACCATCTCAGATACCATAAGAAGACCATGCCTCAAAAAGCAAAGACAGAAACACCCGAGCAAAGAACTTGAACAGACATTTATCCAAACACGATTTACAGATGATCAGTGTATGTGCAAAGATGCTCAGCCTCACCTAGCATCACAGAAATGCAAGTCAACACCATGATCAGATATCATTTGACACCTATCTATATGGCTAAAAATGAATAATAAATAAATAAATAAATAAATAAATAAATAACCAGTCTGTAGAAGATGCAGAGAATCTGGAGTTCCTGTACATTGTTTGTGGGTAAAATGGTCCAGTCAGTATAGAAAACAGCACACATGTTCCTCAAAAAATTAACTGTCATGTGCTCCAGCAATCCCACTTCCTGATATATATCCAAAAGAGCTGAAATCAGCATCTCAGAGAGACTCTGTGCTCCCAGAGCCCCTGTAGCATTTTCCATATAGGGAGACAGTCTAATGTATATGCAGGGAGGAATGCATAAAAATAAACTGGGGTTGGAGAGATAGTTCAATTGGTAAAGTACTTGCCACACAGGCACAAGGACCTAAACCCTAAATGCATGTAAAATGTCAGGCACAGCAACACATGCCTATAAGCCCAGAGCTGGGGAAGCAGAGACAGGAAGATCCTGGGAACTTGCTGGTCTCAGCCTAGCTAAATCAGTGAGCTCCAGGTTCAGTGAGAGAGTGTCTCAAAATAAGATAAAGAGTGATTAAGGAAGACACCATACATTGACCTCTGACCTCCACACACACACATAAACACATATGCACACACTGACACAAACACACAAGAAAAGGTGGCACAAACACACACGAACGCACACACACACACACACACACACATGCACACACACACAAACACATGCATGCACATACATGCACGCACACAATAGAACACTCTTCAGCCTTGGAAAAGAAGGCAAGCCTGTCACTTGTGACATCATAAATGAAGCTAGAGAACATTATGTAAAGTGGAATAAGCCAGAAAAGGAACAAATACTGCCTGTTTCTACATATCTGAGGTATGTAAAGAATTCAAACTATTAGAAACAGGACATTGAATGGGGAGCTTCTGTCCAATGGTTATCAAGTTTCAGCCACAAAATGATCAAGTTCTAAAGCTTTTCTGTCCAACATCGAACCTGGAGCTAACAATATGGTATCATGCACTT